TGGGTCCCCATTGATCCCGGGAGAGAAGGGAGGAGGTGTTGGTTTCTTACCTCTGACTGGGCTGATTATGAGGAATGGGGAGATTGTCTCTTATATTGAAGATGAAATAGTTAGCGTTGCCTCTTCATCTCGGGGCAGTCTCAAGTTAGGCATTGGAATGGAGATTGATGAGGTCAAGTTTTCAACCAGCCGCTCTGTTTTATTGTTCTTCACCATCAACAGTCAAGAAGTATCTAAACTCGTCTTTACTGTACCCCAAGACGGTCTCTTCCCAACTCTTTCCATACAATCAAAGTCCTCTCATTTGCCACTTATTGACAGAACACTCTGTCGTTTGTTCTTCCCTCAGCCCTGGCCTTGTAATAACGTCCTAAAAGCTCCATTGGCTATAGCACGGATATCGCAAGGTTTTGCAGAGCACTCTTCTAATTTTGTTTATTACAAGGATCAACTTACTGCTAGTATCAATTCATCTGTCAAAGGTGTGCAGGCTTGCTATGCTCTCTCTCCCAGACGTCCTTATTTTGAAGTCTCTGTTATAGCGTCAAAAGATCATAAGATATCAGTGGGACTGGCCCCTTTACTCCATCCGCTTCATTCTCATGTTGGCCTCTCACAGCATTCTATTGGATACCTTATTGATAAGTCTGGGGTCTTTCAAATCGGTCTTAAAATATCAGAAACGCCTACTTACAATCACACTGGAGTTAAGATTGGCTGTGGTGCACTGTTCCCGGAAGACGGCAGCATGGGAAGTGCTGAGGTGTTTTTCGTAATAAACGGCGTGTTGGTTCTGCGTCAGTTTGTACAGATACCACCCTCTGGTCTTTTCCCATCAGTCGGCATAAGCAGTGATAGTTTGATTACATTCATGTTTAATTTGCCTCTTCCCTTCTCTGGGATGACCTACTCTTCACAATGGCTGGTATTGGAGAATGTATTGGCCACCGGTAACTTTGTACAGCCCATTTCACATGCACACATGGGCATTGCACAGCTCTCACATTGTGTCACGCTAGACCGGACGGTATTTTTTAAAGCATCCTTTAGGACTTCACCTTTTGACTCAGGGAAGGTCCTAGTTGGTTTTTCTAATGGTACAGACTCGCCTTTCTCTCCTAAGGTCTCTGCGTCAAACAGCTCTTATTTTATGGAGCTCTCCAGTGGCACAATAATTATCATACAAATGGGTCAGAGACAGTCAGCTGAGTGTCAGATACCGAAAGGCTCGTCTTACGTAGGCTGTGGTATATTACCAATACAAAACAGCAACTCGTCACTTTTGTTTTTTACTGCTGATCACACAATCATTTATTCAAGGACAATAAATATATATCAGACCGAGCCGCTTCACCCCACACTCTGTATGGTTGGATCAATGGGTAAGATACAAGTTCAGTCCTGTCCACTGTGGCCCTCATTCTCTCCCATTGGCTTTGGTTGGGGCAGATTCAGCAATGTCCAGTATTCTGAAGGGGCCATCTCTGGCTCATCTAACATAAAGAATGAGTTTGGGTTTATACAGTCGTCATCGCCGCTGATACCATCTCACTGTTACTTTGAAGTTGAGGTAATCAAGAGGGATCCAAAGAAATCCCTTGCCATTGGCCTTGCATCGCGTCAATACAATACCAATCATTGGGTTGGATTGAAACCAGAGTCCATTGCGTATCACTGTGATGACGGTAAACTCTATAAAGCGAATACGATGGGGACAACATTTGGTGCTAAATTGTTTGAAGGAGACGTGATTGGTTGTGGTATACAGTTTAATGGTGAATCAGCAAGTCTTCTACCTGGCAATAGACTGGAAGTGTACTTCACTATTAACGGATACCGTCTACCAAAAACCGAAATGATGACAGTACCCAATGGCGGGCTCTTCCCCACTATATGTCTGGAGTCTTTCTCAGAGACTGTCTGTGTTTATTTGAGACCAGAGAAGCCATTAGGCCTCAATCGTTTGGGTAAGATGTGGTCTAGAGGTTATTGTATGAGCCAAGCTGGTCACATTTTACAGCATAGCTTTCAAGTTAAGAGTCAGAAATATATTTCGTCCTTTCCCGAGGGTTTCTGTCAAGGCTCCAAGCCTTTGACTCAGATCCATTCTTATTTTGAAATTGAAATACTTTCACTTGGCGAAAAGTCAAATCTCAGTATCGGCATAGCACCATTGCAACCTCTGGACTCGAGGAAGATTGTTACGCCTTCAGTAATGTTCACAGCAGCTGGTCAAGTGGTAACATTTGATGGAAGTCGTACAACAGTCACTCCAACTAGACAAAAAGTTGAGGTTGGAGACAGAATCGGGTGTCGTTTTAAGATTGCAGACAAGTACGCGAATCTTGAG